TGTTAAGGGGGAATGTGTGGTGTAAATATTATGCAGAAAATTCGGGTTGGAAAAAAGGAGAGGTGTGGAGTTAAAAAAACATTAGTCGAGGGCAGAAGAGGGGCGTTTGGGGGTTTGGTATTTTGAGAGAATGGTAAATAGAAGACATGGAAAGCATAAAATCTGGAGGGGTTTGGGATATTGGGGTTTGGGGAATTTTTTGTGTTTTTATGTATTGCTTCAAAGCTTTTGTATCTGAGCCCTCTGCAAAAGAGTGATAATGTTGAGTGTGGTGAAAGTGTTGAATGATGATAAAAATATTTTTTTTTTGGGGTTTTTCTTTCTTTTTTGGGTCACCCTGCCTGGTGGGGGAGGCCGACTTGTTGAAAAAAAAAAAATGTATTTAAAATTATTATTTTTTAATAAAACAAATACCATCTTAAAAAATGTTATAAAACCTTTCCCCCTTTTTGTTTGCTTGAGAAATTTAATTTTTTTTAAAAGATTAAAGGTCGGACTTAAAAGGTGACCCATTCCTAATCTTAATATTGTTTTTTTACATTATCATGTCAAATCGTTGAGCATTTGATAAGTCTAAGGGGTGGGGTCCTGGTCAGTTTGGTAGTATATTGGTAATTTTTTTTTAAATTTAAAGGGATCTTCATTAGCTTCTTTTGCTGCCAAAACCCAAGTGACTGAATTTCTTTTTTGTAGCCAAACCCAAAAATTCTCACATATTCGTTCAAATGTTTTTTTAAACATTACTTCATGTTTTAAAGCTTTCTTGTTCTTAAATTGTGTGGTATTAAAATAACTTCTGACCTATAAAATTTAAAGCCCCAGACTTAAGAACCAAACCTTAGGTTTAAGCTGAAAAATGCTAGGAATATTTTTCGAGTGAATTGATAAAGAGCGCGGAGAATGTTCACAGTTCACTCTGTGTTATGGGAGTTAATAGTGCGCATTTTTGTAAAAAACTTTTGGCTAGATTTTTCCCTCTATTGGGGAAAATCTGTTGAGTATACCCGGTCAAATGTATGGTAGTTTTTATTGAAAAAATTAAAAGTAGGAAGGAGCAGGGTTGCAATGAAAAAAGGGGCTTTAGGGGGGTACGGGGTGGTAACCAAATTTTGCAGTGAAACAATAGGGAACAGTTTTAGATAAGGGAAAAAGGTTTTGTGGTTTTATGGTTTTTGGGAAAAAAACCCATATTGGGGGATAGAGGGGGGAATATGGGAGATGTTCAAAAGTTTGGAATAGGGTAGGGTTTTGTAAGTGTGTAAAATTTTTTTCGAGGATAGGAGGGTCAGGTTAGGATGTAAAAAGAGGGAGATATTCCCCGTAAAAGTAGGCCTTGACAGGGATTGTGATGTCACCTGGTTGTTCAAAGTTTTTTAGGGAGTTTTAAGAGAAGTGAATGCGAGGGTCTTGGCAAGAGGTGCGGGGTTAAAAGATAAAGAATCTAACACAAAGTGGGAGTTGTCACAGTTGCCCTTTGCTGATGACACTGTGCTTTTGGGGGATTCTGAAGAGAAGGTGCAGAGGTTGGTATGTAAAAGATGGAAGTTAAAAGTGAATATAGGAAAGAGTAAAGTGATGACGATAAAAAAGTTAAGTAATGGAAGATTGGAGGGAAAGAGTATGGAGGAGGTGAATGTGTTCAGATATTTGGAAGTGGACGTGTCAGCAGATGGGTCTATGAAGGATGAGGTAAATCATAGAATTGATGAGGGGAAATTGGTGAGTGGTGTGGTGCACTTAGGAGTCTGTGGAGACAAAGAACTTTATCCATGAAAGCAAAGAGGGAAATGTATGAAAGTATAGTTGTACTTCCATACTCTTGTATGAGTGTGAGGCATGGGTTGTGAATGTTGCAACAAGGAGAAGGCTGGAAGCAGTGGAGATGTCATGTCTGAGGGATGATAAAGGAGCTTTTGTGTGCAAGGGGCTTGGACTTCCAGCAAGTGTGCGTGAGCATGTTAGATAGGAGTGAATGGAGACAAATAGTTTTTAGGACTTGACGTGCTGTTGGAGTGTGAGCAAGGTAACATTTATGAAGAGATTCGGGGAACTGGCAGGCCGGACTCGATTTGTGGAGATAGGAAAGTACAGTGCCGGTACTCTGAAGGAGGGGTGTTAATGTTGCAGTTTTATAACTGTAGTGTAAGCATGCCTCTGGCAAGACAGTGATGGAGTGAGTGAGTGATGAAAGGTTTTCTTTTTTGAGCCACCTTGCCTAGGTGGGAAATAGCCAGTGTGTTAATAAAATAAAATACTATTGTTGTTTTATTAAGTGAAACATGATTTCCACAAGTGTACAACATTAAAATAAGGAAGATAACATTTGTGTGTGTATCCTCTAGACAAGCTGCTAGTACTGTATATGGTTTGTGAAAAAGCCTCATCAATGTTAAGTAAACTTTCAGGATCCTTGAATTTGGATTTTATTGTTGGTCAAATGTGGTTTTATACTGCAATAGTCATTAGATATTTAAAGGGAAAAATAAGTGCTTTAATAAGCTACATAGATTTATCTCTTCTCTTTGAGTATTCTGGCTTTTCTCATATACTAGTTCATTATTATGCAATGTTCTGTTTCTGTTGGTACATGATTCCATATATGTGATGTATATATGTTTGCTATGTGCAGTTGATACAGTTTGCAAAGCGAACTAAAGATTTTATTATGAGGAATTAACTATTGATTACCAGATTGAACTCAGTACAGCTGTCATGGGCCTGGAACACCCATATTGCACAGTGAGGCAACACCTGGTAATAATAATAATATAGAGAAAATAAGATGGTATGATACAATAATGCCAGGCTGCTGGATTATATACTAGTGGATAAGAGGCACAGGGATAGGCTATTGGATGTACAGTACAGGAAACTCTTTAAAAACCAGTATGCTTATGACTGAAAAATCACCAAACATGTCAATTTCCCAGTACTGGTTACTTACCATGTTAATGTAATGTCTCTGTTTTTACTATTAAACTAGCTGCCACAGTATCATGACTTTTTATTCTTTTTAAAAAACTGGCATTAATACTTCTTATTTTCAAATTTTGCCATATTTCACTGAGTTAAGGTGACCCGACAAAGAAGAAACTACTTTTACTGTCACTCGTTTAGTTACTGTCTTGCCAGATGGGTGCTGATATCACAGTTCAGATGACTCTCCAAACTGCAACATCCCCCACCCATCCCTTAGAGTGCAGGCACTGTACTTCCCACTTCTAGGACTCCAAGTCTTGCTAACTGGTTTCCATTGTATCCTTTCATAAATGTTACCTTGATCACCCTCCAATAGCATGTCAGATCATAAAAGCCACTTGCCTCCACACTCCTGTCTAACACATCCCTGTTGGATGTCCAATCCTCTAGCACTCAAAACCTTCTTGACCCACGCTTTCCATCCTTTCCTAGGATGATCCCTGCCCCTGCTTCTCTCTGCCCTAAATTTATATACCCTACAAGTCATTCTGTTTTTCCTCCACCTTCTCTAAATGTCAAAACCACCTCAACAATCCCCTCTTTAGTCCTCTGAATAATACTTTTGATGACTTCATACCTCCTAATCATAAAACTGAATTTACTGCATAATATTCATACCACGTGTTGCCCTGAAAACACATCTTTGCTGCCTCCAATTTACTCTTTGCTCCAACTTTCAAAACCAATGCTTTGCACCCATATAACGATGTTTGTACTGTACTGCTATAACCTGATACTTTTTTTTTTCTCCATGGGTAAAGTTCTTTGTCTCTATTTCTCAATGCACCACCCACCTTTTCCTTGTCTCTCATAGAACCATCTGCTAACAAGTCCACTTACTAATATCTGAACATGTTTACTTCCTCTATAGTTTATGTCCAGTCTTGATAATATATATACTTAGAAAATCCTAGAGGGACTAGTCCCAAATCTGCACACGGAAATCACTCCCTACGAAAACAAAAGACTTGGCAAGAGATGCAATATTTCCCCAATGAAAAGCAGGGGTGCCATGAATACGCTAAGAGACAACACAATAAATGTCAGGGTCCCAAGACTGTTCAACTGCCTCTCGGCATGCATAAAGGGGATTACCAAAAGACCCCTAGCTGTCTTCAAGAAGGTGCTAGGCAGGCACTGAAAGTCAGCACCTGACCAGCCAGGCTGTGGTTCATAAGTCAGTTTACGTACTGCCAGCAGTAACAGCCTGGTCAATATCAGCCCCTGGTCCACCACAATGCCTGGTCATAGACCAGGCTGCAGGGGTGTTGACCCCGAAACCCCCTCCAGGTGTATTGTACATACACGTACATAAATGAAAGTTAAATTTTTTATTTCTTCATATTGTATACAATGTGTGATTTACATATTATAAAATATGGTTAAGTCTCCTCGGTGGGAGATGGCCGACTTGTTGAAAAAAAAAAAAAAGTACAAAGAAAGCCACTAACATGCCTGACCATTTCGGGCAGACTAATACTAATGCTTACAGACTACTTAACCCTTAACAAAAGAGAGGTAGCCCAACTACATGTATAATATGAACTAGATGTAAGTGTAGAAATGGCAAGATCTTTGTCATCTTACATGTTTGTGAGAGAAAGAATAGACACCAGCATTCTTGTCATTGTGTAAAGCAATTACAGGTGGAAACCTGTATTTGGCAAAATTATTTATTACATGGCAATTAATTTGCTGTAAATAATGTAACAAAGGGACCAAAAAAAAATTCCCTACAGCATTGTGATGCAGTATTACTGTACCAATACTCACTACTGGTACACTTTAGATGTAATCTGTAAGATATGGTAGAATGAGTTGTTTTATGAAAGCATTTACTGTTTAAGGTCATTAATTACTGTCAGTATTATAGTTATTATAAAATGACTTGTTCCATGTGTATGTACTACATGAGAAATTTAGGAATTTATAATATTACAGATTATCAGTACAAAGATTTTTTTTACACAGCACAATAGTTGTTTGTTTATTAGAAGATAATTTGTGTGGAGTAACTGTTATATCTTTGTATCATTGAACTTCTGGATCAGTAAAGAGACTCCATTTGTTTCAGTTATACCAACACTACTTAGACAAATGGACACCCCATACAGCTTCCCGCTGGGTGTTTACACTTGCCGTGATTGGTGGCTTCATGTTGCGGATTATGCTGAGGCAAGGCTGGTACATCGTCTGCTATGCACTCGGCATCTACCACCTCAATCTATTTCTTGCATTCCTCACTCCAAAAATTGACCCAGCCTTTTCACAAGAGGATGGTGAGCTCAGTTTTGTTGGTTGTTTATATACTGTACAATACATCAGCATTTTTTTTTTCTTCCTTTGTATACCAATGTGTAGTACTGTATAGGTATTTTACATGTTCACATAGTGGAAGGAATGCGAGGTAGGGGTCGTCCTGGGAAAGGTTGGAGGGAGGGGTTAAAGGAGGTTTTGTGGGTGATGGGCTTGGACTTCCAGCAAGCATGCATAAGCATGTTAGATAGGATTGAATGGAGATGAATGGTTTTTGGGACCTGATGAGCTGTTGGAGTTTGAGAAGGGTAATATTTTGTGAAGGGATTCAGGGAAACCGGTTAGCTGGACTTGAGGCCTGCACTTTCAAGGAGGGGTTTGGGATATTGGCTGTTTGGAGTGACATCTAAGCTGTTGTACCTGAGCGCCTCTGCAAAGACAGTGATTATGTATGAATGATGGCGAGTGCTGAAAATGATGATGAAAGTTTTTTCTTTCTTTTGGGTCACCCTGCTTTGGTGATGGTCGATATGTTAAAAAAAAATGCACAATTACCTACTGTATTTATAATTACCTGTTTGTAGCAACAGAAGCAGAGCAATGCTCATAGTGTCCCTTCAATTATTTATTCATTATTTATTTATTTTATTTTATTTTTTTTTTCCAACAAGTCGGCCATCTCCCACCGAGGCAGGGTGACCCAAAGTGAAAGAAAATCCCCCCCCCCCCCCCAAAAAAAAAAAATACTTTCATCATCATTCAACACTTTCACCTCACTCACACATAATCACTGTTTTTGCAGAGGTGCCCAGAATACAACAGTTTAGAAGGATATACGTATAAAAATACACAATATATCTCGCCAAACTGCCAGTATCCCAAACCCTCCTTTAGAGTGCAGGCATTGTACTTCCCATTTCCAGGACTCAAGTCTGGTTATTATATCATATAGTTTTTAAAAAATCCCAATTGTTGTATTTATTACAGTACTGTACTTTATTTATTACAGTACTGTACTTTATTTATTACAGTACTGTACTTCTGCTTTTCAATCATTCCATTAGTCAGCCACTCTGTTTGCAAAGAAAAATTTTCATATATCACTTTGGCTCCACCTTTTCCTCAGTTTACAACTGAGGTCTCTTAAAATAATCTTAACTGGTAGCCATTATGAAACTGCTCATTGGACCATGTTTTGACCTAATATGTTATAAATAGCTTTATTAGCATTTGTCCCTCCACATATTTGAAAGTTATTTTATAATTTGTCAATGTAGCTTATGAATTTCTTGCATTTTTGTTCATTTGATTTTCCGGTGACAATTTTTGTCAACTTCTAGCTTTCACTGTCGATACTTTCAGTACTTTATCAGACTTTTTCTTCATGTGTCTTGAATTTGCTTCCATTGCTTTTGCATGGTATTTATCTTCATACATAAAATTCCTTTATGTTGGACTCTTGAGATTACTAGAGAATGTCTCTTCTAGTTTGACTTCAAACTTTAACAATTGATGTATCTGACTTAATGGAATTGGTTTTGGGCTCCATAGGTGATAATTTGGTATTTTTTATTGAAGAAATTGAGATATTAATTTCTTTGTGCTAGCTTGTACATGTCTCCTCTGATTAGCTTCAAATATTCATTGTTAATATTAAACTACATTAGAAACTTGAACTGCACACTGTACTGTTTTCTTTGTTTGCATTATGGTAGAAGTGACTGGATTTATGGGATACTGGGATGGCTTCCTCAAATAGCACAGTAACCAAAACTCACGCACATTCAAATTTTTATTTCTATTAAAGTATACAGTGGTTACAAATATTATATGACAATTTGAAGCTTAATGGAAAACAGTTGATTATGTATTATTGCAATGATAAAGGTTCTTTACTGGAAATCTTGTAATTTTCTTGTCAGACGATGGACCGTCGCTGCCTACGAAAGTCAATGAAGAGTTTCGTCCCTTTATGCGACGGCTACCCGAGTTTAAATTTTGGTACAGTGTAACAAAATCTACATTAGTTGCCTTCTTCTGTACTTTTTTCCAGGTAAAAACCTTGTCTGGTGTTGTGTTTTTAATTACCTATTGTACTCTTTGAATAGCTACATTTATATTGTATCGTATTACGCTATTTAATGCACTGCAAAATTTAATATTTATTTTGCTGAACATATTTAATCTTTTTCTTCTTTTTTCAGCTATTTAATGTGCCAGTATTCTGGCCAATCCTTGTTATGTACTTCATCACCTTATTCTGCATCACCATGAAGAGACAGATACGGGTAAATATTGCTGTTTCTTTGTATAGTGATTAGTTTAAGTGCCTTAAATGTTCTGGAGGTGGTAAGTACAGTGCCTGCCCTCTGAAGAGTGGGTGAAAATATAATTCAGAGGGCCATTTGATTTATGATGTCTATGTACGTGTGACAAGACTGCTATTGAGTCGATGATGGAGAATATATTCATTGCTTAGGGTCACCCTACCTTGTTGGGAAATGGCTGATGTGATACAATAAGAATGTAGGGGTAGAGAAGTGGGAGAACTTGTAAACTTGTTTTTTCAAAAATGTGTATAGTACTTTAGGTGTTAATGAAGCACAGGTTTTGGTTTCAGCAATGACGAGACTTGTAAAGTGGACGTTGTGTTTAAAAAAAGAATGTACTGGTATATAATATGAAGGGTTGAAAGCATGTATTAATTTTATTGTATAGTACAAACTGCAAGTGATGAAGAAAGTTGTATTTTTTTGCTTTCTGCAGTGTATTGTCCTTGCGTCTGTGCTCATTGTTCTTTCTAGGAGCTCTCTTTATGCTTGGGACTTCTGTAGCATCTAAAGACATATCTGATCCCTTGTATATGTTAAGAACTCTTTTGCGATCAGTTCACATTTGCCAAAAAATTCTACACTATTTGATCTGTAGGTAAAACTTATGATATTTAGGTTCTCTTTAAGATGGATAATTCATACCTTCCTGACCACAGAATGGTGCAGATCTGTGACAAGAGGACTGAGTAAATGAGATTTGTACTAATTGAGAGAGTGACCAGAATAATTTATTTAAAGTGAGATGCATGATAAATCATTATTTTACGAAGACAGTACGGTAATTTAAAGAGCCGAATGAGCTTTTATAATAAGAGGGTGTATCAAGATAGGGAATTTTCTTAAATTTCATAGCAAGAGTGAAATAAGATGTTAATGGGGTATTGGTCGATTGATTGGTAAAACTTGAATTCTGATTTTGTCTGATTTTGCAAATACATGTTTCCTACAGTAAAATTAATTTTAGAAACTGTCTTTAATTTTAACCCTTAAACAGTCCAAATGTATATATACGTTCACTCGTGCAGTGTCCCAAATTTTTTGAGAGAAATTTTTTTTTTAATAGGAAAAAAGAGCATTTGGTACCCAGGCATCCCCAATTTTTTTCATATGGCACACACTGAGTGCACACACCCATTCTCTCATATCTAGGCGACTCAGGCATATCGTGCCAATGTTGAATGAATGACAAAGGAAACGTATATATACGTTTGGAGCACTGCGCGAGAGAATGTATATATACGTTTGGACCGTTTAAGGGTTAAGAAAACTACCATTTATTCAGTTTTGTTTTAATTTTTATCAGTTATCAAATTGTTATTCTTTGTATTGAATCTATTGACTTGCATCAAATTACTCATATACACTATTTCTTTAATTTCAGCATATGATCAAGTATAAATATTTACCATTCTCCTTGGGCAAACCTCGTTACCAAGCTCAGGAAAATGCAAAGGCCGCTGCCCACTGACCCACCCCTGCTACTGTAACATCATTCCTGAGCAAGTGTAACTAACTCTTACCCACCACTCGGTTGCTAAGCAAGGTAAAGAAGAAAAAGCAAATGGTGTCTTAGTAAAATTTAAAAAAATATATATATATATAAAAAATAAGGAAAATGAAGAAAATAAGTCATGTGGTGTATTATTTACACAAGGTGAGCTGCCATAATTGGCAAAGTGAAGGTCCAGATGCGCTTGCTAATCCCAAAAAAGGAATTTATACATTTTGCCGACTGGGAAGAAAGCTGCTGCTGATTGCCAAATCTCCTCCCAAATACTGTCAGTGCTTTAAATTTAAATTGTTTTCCAAAATATTTTTTTTAAATTGAACTTTACTGAAAAGTATAATACATTGTTATTATTGATAGAACTTCATTTTACCTATGGCAAGCCAGGAGAAACATCTAGGGCCAGTGTTGTTAATTATTGTATTCTTAAGTTCAGTTGGTGAGGCTGGACAGATACTGAATTTGACTTCTGCAGAGCACATAATGATGGTTGTAGAAAAACACTGTATTTAGAAAGCTATTGTTTAAAAAAGAGTGAGTCACAGTACCATACCTGAAAAGATTTACTACTAACCCACAAACTGAGACACAAGACGGTTTTGGTCTATTCTGGCTTAATAATGGTTCAAAAGCAACCAAAACCTCTTTTTTTTTTTTTTTTTTTTTTCATACAAATTGTGAGTTGTGAACTATAGTTATAACTACACTTTTCCATACCAGTTTAAGTGTTCATAAACCAAAAAAATGTAAGCTTTTGAAAACTGTAGCACTGTAATAAATATCACTACCTAATGACCGTTTCTAAGTAACTGTAATATTGTACTGTAATTTGTCACCACTAAAAAAAATAACAAACTTCTAAGTACAGCAGATCAGCATGATTAATGTTTAGTCTATTTAATATCTGAGCATTATGAGCTAATAATAAGAGTAACTCAGAAAATGCACTTTACTTTAACTCCATCTAGTGATATTAGCTTTTAAAAATAGTATCCCACATTATGAAGGCAGCTCATTTGTTGAAACTGTTTTTGTTTCTCACCTTTTTGGCCCAACAGTATCATTAAGAAATAAAACTAAATTATCAAGTTCACTATAACTAGGATAACCTGGGAGTATTAGTAAGTAAAGCCACAACAGTGGAGTTAATACTCTTATGAGTCAGGTATCTAAGCATCACTTGAACATGATACTGTTACTATTACTTTTGTATTGTACTATAGAAATGTATACACTATATTTTTGTTTTATAAATATGACTACCTTACTGTAATTTAAAGATCCTCTCATGGTGAACCCTATTTTCATACAAAATTCCTAACTTGGGAACCATACTGTTTCATTTATTTTGAACATAATGACTTAATGGTAACATTTTCCCTTGTACAGTCCCCCTTTGCTTGATATGGATTTAAAGTTGGAATAGAGCTTTTTTCCATATTTATGTAAACTTCTTAATGTACTACAGTACGTCATTTACATTACCGTGAGCATCCAATGATTGTGTGCTCTTTGTGAAATTATTATTATGATTATTAAAATTACAAACCCATTTACACTAGTTAAGTGCAAGAGCTGGTGAAGACTTCACACTCTCGTCTAATTACAGCCCATTCTCTGGCCAGCAAGATTGTTGGCAATTGCCTCCTAGAAAGCATTCATAAAGTAATCTCTTCTCGCATATACAGTACCTTAAGTAACAGCTTTCATGCTGTATGATTTACTTTTTCATTTTTTAAATTAATTTTCCCCCCCTCTAGAAGATTACAGATGTACATTTAAATGCTAGGTTAATGAAAATTTCCACCTCAGCCTATACTCTAGTATATATAGTATATTTTTTAATCTTAAAATCTTTTTTTTATTCTGTTTAGTATTTGAGTTTGTTGTATACTATAGTATCTTTACAAGAGAGGGAGAGATAGAACTCAAAATTTACCTCTAACACTCTTACCCCCCCCCCTTAAAATGTAAGTTTCCAAAGTGCTTTGAGTAAAATATAAAGATTTGCTTCATCAGTCAAACCCTTTGTCTTGTTTTGTATATGTATATATAATCCAGTACTTTATTTAGTAAAAACATTTAAATATTTTTATTTTTATACTGCATTTTAATGAAGTCCTTGTTCTTGAGAACTATATCTGCTAAGTTAAGTAATTTGTATAGCAACAGCAACCAGCATTTGTACCAAGGGATCTCCAACTTTCGAGTGCCTCCGTTTACTCATTAATAGAATGCCATAAGCAGTACATTGTGCCATCATCATTCTGTTGGTTATACATTACAGTTTTATACAATATGCACTAAGAAACTGGTTAAAATTTTACCATCTCAAAAAAAATAACAGTCCTATGTTGGAGGCTGTCAGTACATCCAGGTTGCAATGTTCTCCTGTTTACTGTGATGGGGCACAAATTTGAGAGGGAATACTAAATTTCTGTAAGGTAATCTTGTCTTAATACTTCTACAACTGTTATGAATGAAGCTACATTCTAAATTTCCCCCCAAAAAATAAATTATGGAATGTGTCATGTTTATGGGGAAACGCTGTAAATTTTTTCTTGGTTGAAAGCTGTCTTGAGTCAAACTATTAAGCGGAAGGTGGTCATGGGAGCAATTTTTGCATATAAAGCTACACAGATCATTACAAACAGGCAGTTGGAAACTTTATTATGAATAACACACCATTTTTGAGTGTTATCAGATATATGGATTCAGGTAACCCATTCACTGATTAAATTTTTGATTATGAAGAGAGTGTAAAATTACTTGATGTATGAAGTATGTATTGTCTTTATTGTGTTGTCAGTGATGTGCAGTGGTTAAACTGTAAATAAGTTATTGAATGAATGAGTCATTCCAGATTATAGCATTGTAATGAATGTGACTAGACCTTTTTACTTGGATCATGTCTTTGTACAGTCTTGTCATGAAATAGATTAAATAATATTTTGAGTATGACTTTCTCTCATAAATCCTTTTTTTTTTTTTTTACTCTAAATCAAGCACACAGAATACAGTATGGTATCTGAAGACACCACATAAGGACACTTTTATTATAGACGTTTTCTTCAAAGCTCATCCTTAGCAAAGAGTTGCTCATCATAGTCTAGTCCTATAATATTTTTTTTATTGGAAGGTTGTTATAGATGCCTATGAATATCTGGCAATGTTCAGAGATGCCCAAAAGAAGTGCCTTGACTCTTAAATATACACTCAGTGGCCACTTTATTAGGTATACACTTCTAGTACTGGGTAAGACCCCACTATATCCTCAGAACAGTTTGTATGTTTTCATGGCATGGATTCACCATGATGCTGGAAACATTCCTTAGAGATCCTGACATGATATCTGCAGCAACTACATGATGCTTTGATGGCTGCACATTCATGCTGCTAATTTCTCATTACACCACATCCCAAAGGTTTTTACTGAATTCTGACCCTATCATCTGTATGTTGCAGCAGAAATTGCAATTCATCAGACCAAGTGATATTTTTCCAATCTTCACTTGTCCAGTTTGGTGAGCCTGTGTCCCCTGTAGCCTCAGTTTCCTCTTCCTAGCTAACACGAGTGGAACCTAGTGTGGTTTTATGCTGCTGTAGCCCATTCACTTCAAGGTTCAATGTGTTCTGCACTCAGAGATACTATTCTGCATACCACTCTTATAATGCATGGTTATTTGAGTTAGTTGCATTCCTGTCAGTTTTAACCAGTCTGGCCATTCTCCTCTGACCTCTCTCATTAACAAGGCATTTTCGCCCACAGAACTGACACACTAGACGTTTTGTGTATTTCATACTGTTCTCTGTGAACTCTAAGAGATTGTTGTGCACAAAAATCCCAGGAGTTATTTGCTGTTTTATTAACCATTGCAAGTTTGCAACATCCAAATTTATACTCCCTTAAATGGGCAGGCCATAATAAATTAGGGCTTCACAGATTAGCAATTGCTTGAAAACTAACCATCAGAATTCCATTTATATGGGCTCATTGACCTTATATTGAGTTACTCTATCCACTATAGGGAGTTCAGTTCAAATTTCTAATTTTTTTGGCCATTTGCCCCATGAAGGGTTAAAATGGAGGTTACCTCTTCCCCCGGATTTATATGAGAACCAAACAAGGGACGAGATGCCTCACTACAGTGGTCAAGGTACCACTGTACAGTGGTACATTGACTTACAAGTGCCCCAACCTACGAGCTTTCCAAATTACAAGCCGTCACTCGGTCGATTTTTTGCTTTGAGATGTGTGCCAAAACCCCGGAGTTATAGCGAGTTTTATTAACTTCCCAAGTTGTGCAACATCCAAATATCCAATGGCAGCCATTAATTGGCTTTTGCTGCTTGTAATCTATGCAAATTATTAAGTTTACTTATAAACCTATCCATAAGGGAGTCAGTAAGTCAATGGACATTGCTGAAGCAAAAGAGGTTATCTCATTGAATTTAAACATGAAACCAAAAAGACGAGAAACCTCACTTACTTTTGGTCAGTACCATGAAGTTACATTGATCTAGTGCCCCTCACAAACAGTTTTTCTCTTAATAAGCCTCAGCGAGGCTTGAATGGGCCCAAGATCAGTGTAGAGCAGTTTAATTTTACCTCTAGGGTGCACCCGAATGCACAATATCATAGCATTTTGTTCTTTTCTGTGTATATATTGCAACTAAGTTGTTTTTAATGTCTATGATAGTCAATTGTCAACTGTGCTGATAAATAAGCCATAGAGTTGATATTAGCATTATATTGAAGTATTTTCTCCTGCCTCCCAAGAGCCAGGAATTCCGCTGGAACGGATTAATGTCATTTCAATTAATTTCAACGAGGAAAACTGATTTGATAAACAAGCTCGGTCATGGAATGAATTAAACTCATAAATCAAGGTACCACTGTACAAAGGAACTACGCATGCTTGTGTGCCAATCCCTAGGTACTGCTTCCCTTTCATGCATATAATGAATTAATACACCAACCACTGTTTAAAACTATATACCTATTTGTTTTTAGCATTTCGGTTTTAAGAACATAAGAAAGGAGGAACACTGCAGGAGGCCTGTTGGCCCATACTAGGCAGGTCCTTTACAATTCATCCCACTAACAAAACATTTGCCCAACCCAATTTTCAATGCCACCCAAGAAATAAGCTCTGATGTGAAAGTCCCACTCAAATCCAACCCCTCCCACTCATGTACTTATCCAACCTAAATTTGAAACTACCCAAAGTCCCAGCCTCAATAACCCAACTAGGTAGACTGTTCCACTCATCAACTACCCTATTTCCAAACCAATACTTTCCTATGTCCTTTCTAAATCTAAACTTATCTAATTTAAATCCATTACTGCAGGTTCTCTCTTGGAGAGACCCCAAATTCCTTAAGGACCTTATTAAAATTATCCCCTTTAATTAAACCTAAACCTTCCACTCTCCTGGCGCTGTAAATCCAGGTCCTTCCCCTTCATTATTAATAATAAAAAGTGGAGAACACTTAAGAGTCTTTTTCCAAACTTTCTTATACACTCAAAGGCACGATTTCTAATGAATGTAATTAAGTTTAATCTTTCCTTTTTACGTATTGATTGAATGTTTTCTAACGAATTTATGTCCATTCTGTAATATGGAGACCAGAACTGAGCTGCATAATCTAGGTGAGGCCTTACTAATGATGTATAAAGCTGTAGTATGACCTCTGGACTTCTGTTGCTTACACTTCTTGATATAAATCCCAGTAATCTATTTGCCTTATTACGTACACTTAGGCACTGCTGTCTTGGTTTAAGGTTGCTGCTCACCATAACCCCCAAGTCCTTTTTGCAATCTGTATGGCTAAGTTCTACATCATTTAACTTATAAGTATGTACTAGGGTTATGGGCACTCCCAAGCTTCAGAACCTTGCATTTATCTACATTGAACTGCAACTGCCACTTTTCTGACCAAGAATAGAGTTTGTTTAAATCCTCCTGAAGTTCAATAACATCTACGTTTGAATCAATTATCCTACCTATCTTTGTGTCATCGGCGAATTTGCTCATATCACTAGTAATTCCCTCATCAAGATCATTGATATATATTATAAACAACAACAGGCCCAAGACTGATCCCTGTGGAACGCCACTTGTTACAGATCCCCACTTGGATTTAACTCCATTTATGGACACTCTGCTTCCTGTCAGTGAGCCATGACTCGATCCACGAGAGCACTTTTCCCCCAATGCCATGAGCTGCCACTTTCTTTAACAGTCTATGATGCGGAACTCTATCAAAAGCCTTACTAAAATCTAAGTAAATAATATCAAATTCTTTATCGTGGTCAACAGCCTCAAAAGCTTTACTGAAGAAAGTTAATAAATTAGTTAGACAAGACCGGCCTCTTGTGAATCCATGCTGAGTATCATTAATCAAGCTATGCTTATCGAGATGGCTTCTTATAATCTCAGCTATAATTGACTCTAGTAATTTGCCTACAATTGAGGTCAGGCTTATTGGGCAGTAATTTGACGGTAACGACTTGTCCCTGTTTTAAAAATGGGAAATTACATTAGTCTCTTCCACATATCAGACACTACACCTGTTTGAAGAGATAAATTAAAAATATTAGTTAATGGTTCACAGAGTTCCATTTTGCATTCCTTAAGAACCCTTGAAAAAATCTCATCAAGACCCGACGACTTATTTTGCTTCAGTCTGTCTATCTGCTTCACAACCATTTCACTAGTGACTGTGATGTTACATAATTTATCTTCTAGCTCACTATAAAAATTAATTACTGGAATATTGTTAGTGTCTTCCTGTGTAAAAACTGAGAGAAAATAATTATTAAAAATCGAGCACATTTCATTCTCTTTGTCAGTAAGGTGCCCATAGTTATTTTTAAGGGGACCTATCTTATCCCTAACTTTTGTTCTATAGACCTGGAAAAAACTTTTTGGGTTAGTTTTAGAATCCCTAGCAACTTTAATTTCATAGTCCCTTTTAGCTTTTCTTATCCCCTTTTTAATGTCCCTCTTAATGTCAATATACTGATTCATAAGATGACCCTCACCTCTTTTGATACGCCTATAAATTCCTTTCTTATGCCCTAGTAGATATTTCAGCCTATTATTCATCCATTTTGGGTCATTTCTATTTGATTTAATTTCTTTATATGGGATAAACGTTCTTTGAGCAGCATGTATAGTGTTCAGAAAACTGTCATATTGAATATAGCTCACTTCGTTACCCCAGTCAACAGATGATAAGTGTTCTCTAAGCCCATCGTAATCTGCTAAGCGAAAATCTGGGACTGTTACTGAGTTATCGCTACTATCGTACTTCCATTCAATGCTAAATGTAATTGATTCGTGGTCGCTAGCACCCAGTTCCTCTGAAATTTCTAAATTATTAACAAGGGATTCATTGTTTGCCATAACTAAGTCAAGCAGGTTATTTCCCCTTGTAGGTTCTGTCACAAACTGCTTCAAAAAACAATCCTGAACTACTTCTAAGAAGTCGTATGATTCTAAATTCCCAGTCAAGAAATTCCAATCAATATGACTAAAGTTAAAGTCTCCTAGAATTACTACATTATCGTGCCTTGTGGCCTTAACAATTTCCTCCCATAGTAGTCTCCCTTGGTCCCTATCTAAGTTTGGGGGATGGTATATCACTCCTAAAATCAGTTTTTTCATGCCCCTCTGAAAATTCTATCCAAACAGACTCTGTATGTGTTACTTCAGACTTAATACCCGTTTTTATGCAACAGTTCAAGCGATCTCGGACATACAATGCCACCCACCCCCCTTCCCGATACTTCTATCTACTTGGAACAATTTAAAACCCTGAATATGACATTCCGCAGGCATGTCCCGACTTTTTGAATTAAACCACGTCTCAGTTAAGGCAAATACATCAATGTTACCTGCACTAGCAACTAATCTCAACTCGTCCATCTTATTCCTAGCACTATGGCA